ACAGCAAATTTAACTAAACTTATCATATTAGATGATTATTTTATCTTTAATATTTGGTGAACATAATAAAAGATTCATGATTACAGCTCAATAAATCCACAGATAGTTTTAAACAAAGAACCAAACATCAACAAGATATTTTTATTAAGTCTTAAACAATCTAAAGTCATGTGACTGTTTTGTTTCATACTATATATATATACATATATATATACACACACACATTCCAGTGCCTAGGTAAACCACTTATAATTGATGAGAGCAAAACCTTCTCCAAATATTATACATTTGTTACAGTGTTAAGCTTGTATTAAAGTTTTCTTTGCTACCCCCATTCAACCCATCTCTGAACTGTATAAGCTCACTTCAAGTTACCTGGTGTCTTTTCAGTGAAGAAAATTTATGTAGCTTTCAGTAATAATTCAAAACTAAAGTAACTTCACAATTCACAAACAAAAAGGAACTGTAAAAAAACTCTTAAACCTATATACTTACTTTACTGTTACATGACTGTCTAATTCTTGCTCTACCAAATCATAATCAAAATTTCTTTATCACAGTTTTTAAAGTAATGTGACACCATTACAAGGTTTCAACCAAGGCCTGTACAATAACTTAAGGAAACGCTTGAAAATCAAATGATGATAGGTTATAAAAAATAAAGTTATTATTTGGAATGGGCAGAAAATTCTAAAAAACGAAAAAGTGGGTTATTTTGTTCAGAAACAAAACTCTTTGCGACTATGCAGAAATGAAAATATAAACTTTTTCATGAATTATACTAAATAAGTGTCAGAAAATAACAAATCAAAAATACTTTTGAGTTAAAATTGTGAAATATAGTTTGAATTAACATATAAAATTGTCTTTAAAATTTGTCTCAAAACATTTTATCAAGTGATGAAAAAATATGAAAAGCCAGAGGAATCCCTGTCTTCATACTCTAGGCACAATAATATAGAATTATTTTTTTAAGTTAAAACTTTGTACATGAAAATGTATCATATACACAATTTAACAATACTGTTTAACATTTAGAAACAACAATAATATGTACACTTTTCTAGACTTGTTATTCCAGACAATTAAATATTGTTTCACGTGTTTATAAGGGAGTTTTTGATAATTTTGGGACCTCAAATGTTGTATCTACAACTACACAGTTACTCAAACACTTTGTGATCAACAAGGGAAATTAATAATTATAACAAAAATATATTTGTTAGTAAACAAGTACTCAGCCAAAGTAAAAGCCTACAATTTTGGATATTCTTCACATAGCTTAAGTTTTAAAGTCAAACATAAAAACTAGAATAATATCAATTTATTTGTAAAATATAACTTTATCTTACAAAGTTTGAAAACCATTAAGGATTGAATAAAAATAAAAGTAGAAAGTCTATTTAGATAACATTGTATTATTATGTTAAGAAGTAACAACACTGTTTTAACTTCTCCACACTAGCTCCAGTAATGTTTCATTATAACAATTATGATATGATACCAGCTAACGTTTTAAAGGTTCACTGTGTAACTCTGTAACCAAATTTTTAGTTTTTTTACATGAATGAAGAGACTTCCACTATAATAATATAATGTCTTAAATTAGTAAGTTTTGACAATATAGTCCTAAAGTAACTTAAATAAGCAACACAAAGTGACGGCAACATTAATATATTTTGTAAATGATTAGCTCATTCTGGTTAAAATCATGTAATTTCAAAATGTATGTCTTTATTTCTAGTAATGTGATTGATAAGAAAATAAAAACTGATAAAAACTAAACATTTCAAATTTTTTAATTAAAGTTAAATAGTTATAATTATTTATAGTCATATTTAAAAACAAATTACAGCATTGTCAACAGATTGCCTGTTTTCAGAAAAAAGAAAATTTATTTGTTAATTATGCAGCCACATCACTTGTTAGTTTACTTAGTTTGACATCAACAATACTAAAATATCCTTCCTACAAAAACTCTGACTTCTAAGTAATGGAAAATCTATTCTGTAACAAGTCTATGTTATATAAACTGCAGCTACCACAAGAAATACTTGATGAAAACAAATCTCTAAAGTCTGGAAACAGCCAAATCACTAAAACTTATTATGGCAACACTTAACTGATGTTTATACAATTAATATTCATTCTTCAGTTGTCCAATATCAAAAATAATATGGATTGAAAGATACTCTGTACATTCATCAAATGATTAAAATTGCATGTTTATATATCTTTAGAAATTTAATGAATATAAAACTATCAACTAAATGTTTTTAAAAATCTAAGCCATTATTTGTCAAAAAAATGTGTGTCTTTATAACTAGCAACTGCTGAACCTACTGCCAGCAAACCTGGCATATAACTTTTAGGGCCCCTCAGGGGAAAGTAAAATGTGCATACAGTTTTATAAGTTACTTTTCATTCACTGTGATATGAAATGCTATTGTATGTTCTGGCACAAATACTGAAACTTGATCCTAAGTTATTTTTTGGTATCCTGTCAACATCCAATATTTGAATAAGACAAGAACCATTTCTTTTTTATCACAAATGTCTGATATAATATTGCCCAAATAATCTCAAATTAAGTTGTTTCTAAGTATTTATTATACTTTTTACTATTAATCTGCATTACTATCCTGTCATTAGTTCTGTACTTTTGTTAGAGTGAAAACTCAAATTTTTCAAGTTGTTTTTCACTATTACTTTAAAATACATTACCATCCAGATATTAATCCTGTGAAAACTCATATTGTTTGTTTCTCAGTATGTATTATACACTGTTTACTATTAAAATATATTACTATCCTGCCATCAGTTCTATACTTTTATAAAGATGTATAACTATGATAAAACTGGTAACAGTTGAAGTTCTTTAAATTAAATCAAAATATATATAAAGTTGTACCAAATTAACTTGAATTCATCAAGGCAGTACTTACCTACAATTAACTGAATAAATGATTGACACAAATGACTAAAGGAAACAAGATCACCAAGTCTTACTGTTCCTAAGATTGAAGCTAACAGTTGGACACAGCTATTATGAAGTTCTCTCAGTTCTGGGAAAGTTAACAAGCGTATCAATTGAGAAAGTAACCATTGCGTGAAGCCTGAAAGAAAAAAATAGTAATTACTAAATGCATAGTTCAAATCTTAAAGCTTTTTCAGTTTAGTTGCTATTATTCTAAAGTTAGAAATACTAAAAACAAAATATTTGAGTTCAGTGTTCTAGTTCAGATTGAAGACTTAAAATTGGTAAGATTTAGAGACCATTGATAATAGGAATTATTTTGAAATTATAGGTTATAAATCAAATTAACAGTGATACTTTTTAAAAAGAGGGGTCAGGTGGCTCTTTATATAAAGGATGAACTGTTTGGATTTAAGACGAAAATAGAAGTCAAGAGGTGCAGTGGTTCAGGATGGTTTTTCTATATCAAATGATCAGACAGCCAACAGGTGTGGATGACATTGTAGATTTGTTACCAACCGCTATTGTGTGTATAGTTACAAGAATTGGAGAAAACCTGGAAAGAGTGATCACAACATAATTTTTATGTTTTACTACATGCCAAGATAAGAATAATTAAATTAGAACTCCTAGTTTTCAGAATGCCAAGATTTTGAGGGCATGAAACAAGAACTGTGATACACAATGTGAGATAATGAGTTCCTATCTAACATGATTTGGAACTTTATTTTAAATAAATTGCTTTAAATTAAAGATATACATGTTAATACAAAGAGGAAAAGGACAACAGGGAAATGGAACCTTACTGGCTTACTAACAACAATTAGGGGTAATATCACAATCTTCAAAAACTTATATTGACAGACAGATTGGAAGATTTAAAGAAATCTAGGAAAGCAAGTTGTTTTAAAAGATATTACTATACACAAAAGGGTTTATTAGAAACAGCTGGCTCATAATGTTAAAACTTACAGCAAAAACATTTTTATGTATGTTAAAGGTAAATAAAATGTTAAAATAAGGATTGGACCCTTAAAATACATTGATGACAAATATTTTTATAATTCTATGAGATGACTATGCTTTTCAATATTTTCTCTCCTCTGTTTTTACAATAGATTAAATTAACAATATTCCAGATCATGATAATTATATGGGAAATACTTAAATTGATTTAAATCATGATGATATTGTTTCCATGGTGATAAGTAAAAAGCTTGAGAGATTAAAAACAGATAATGCATTAGAATCAGATAAGATTCCCCAGAGTTTAAAAAAAGGTCAAATATAAGATATGAAAGCCTTGCTCCTTAATTTTTGGTAGATCAGCAGACTGTAATGGACTGATAAGAGTTACCACAGAAAGTATAGGCTAGTGAGACTTACTCTTGTAGTAGGATAAATTCAAGAGAAAATCACTTATTTAATAAATTATGACATCATAAGCAAAAGCCAACATAAATTTTCAAGGGAAATTTTGTCATATTATCTTTTTCCTTTTTTTTTGGGGGGGGGGGCTTGTTATAAAGACAATGGAAAAGGTGTGGACTTGGTGCAACTATAAAACTACAAAAAACTATTGATAAGGTACCACACAATAGATTTGCTGATAAAAACATTGTACAGGTTAGAGAAAGACTAAGTAATTTGATTTTAGAGTAGTTGAACAACATACTCGTTTTTAAAGTCTTCATAGATTTAATACTTCTAACTTTCAATATAATGTGTATATCTTCACAAAATTTGGCAGTCTTTCAGTTAACACTATAAATCTTTCATACAAAAAACTATATTTTTTTAGTGAAGTACTTTTTATGAAATAAAATAAAGATTTGTCCATGAATATATTGAATATTTGTTTTGAATAGTCCTTGTGAAAAGTAATTTTCATGTTAAGATTAAAAATACTTTTCCTCATCTCAAAAATCTCAAATTTCCTTTGAATAATCCCTAAAAACCTCCTAAATACATTTTAAACGTTTTTTCCAGTAACTCTTTATATTTTATCTGTTATTTTCTCTACCCTAACTCAAAATGGGATTGGTCAATTTCTTTCTAGAATGAATTATAACATGAAACTACATTAGTTTATCCTCAGTAGCTTTAAGCTTGTAATAATATACATCTATATATAATTAAATTGTATTGTTTGATTGCCCTACGAACTGTGTGTAACTACTATCCATGCCATAATAAGTTGTAAATCACTTGGGGCATTACCCACATGTTGCTTGGGTGTGTGCCTCGTGAAAACTTTTTAATTATATTGTTGCATCAGCGAGGTCACGTGACTAGTATCACGCCACTTCTTTCTCGAACCTTCGTGAATTGTCGGGAGATTACTAGATTGGGGGTAGTCTGATATATATAAGATGGTACAACGTGATGGGACAATGTGCAGGTAATGAGTAATTGAACTGCAGTCAGAGAGAATATTATTAAGCACGTGAGACGTTCGTTGAGAATTATAGCGTTTGTTACAGAGCGACTGTTGTAATTAAGTGTATCGTAAAGTTGTATTCGGAAAGAATAAACCAGTTTTATTTAAGAAAGGACTTGTGTTGCTAAAGTTTCATCGGAACGAATTTACGGAAAATTAATTAACGAACGGAGGCTTAACAATATTATTATTATTACTTATTTTACCTAATCTAATCTTAACTAACCTAAATAGATTCCTATTTTTACATTTTAGTTACTTTTATAATAATAGATAAAGAATAAACCTGAAAAAAAAGAAATAAATTACTTACCCAGTCTTTTTTCTTGCTGTTGATGTCGATTATACTTAAGCCTACATATTTTATAATAATGGTAGTAGTGCATTAAATAATTTTTATTTAATTAAGTAATGCACCAAACACAGATTAATAACATGCAAAAAATAGGCAATTTCTCCTAACTCTCAAAATTTTTCTGGCTGTCTAACTATACAACAAGAGCTGTTATAAATTCATCCAAGTTATTCGTTAACTTTCTCATGGGAATGAAGTTTGAACTAAGAGTGAAATTGAAGCTTATCTGTTCAGAACACAACATTATACAATACATCATTTGATAAATGAAAACCTTGACTTTCTACTGGTTATAGGTAATATATTATTAAAAGTAGAGAACTATTAACAAAGCCTGAAAGAGAGGATGTGTCAGGTAGGTGTGGCAAGAGGGGTGTGATTTTCTATTAATAGCTCTGTAACCAAACAAAATTGAAGGCTACAAATTATGGTTTGTCTGAGCAATAATGATAGTATAGGGAGCAATTTATATTTAATTTCATACAATTTGAAGGGGGTAGTGAATAAAACATAGAACAAAAGATGCCTAGAGAAAATGTGTTACTGTGTGACACTAGGAGAAGTTCAGGATTTGTTTTAATATTTCCTTATAGAATTAAAACTTAATACTTATATACTATTAAAATATGGATTATTAGCTAAGTGTTTTTTCTATATTAATTAGTAAAATATAAACAAAATGTAGTTTAATAAAATTTTGAATGTAAAACACTAAAATTTTTTGTCATGAGTAGTAAAGGATACCTGGTGCAAAAGGGTTAATAGAGTCCAGTCAACCTGGACCCTTGTTAGTAATGGAGTGCCTCAAAGGTCAGTGCTTGGGGTTTTTCTTATTTAAATTAATGGTATTAATAGGGGTGTGATTGGTAATTTAGTAAAATTACATAATGATAGTAAAATTTTTGGTATCTAGCTGTACTGATGATGTTGAGGTCCTACAGAAAAGTTATATCAATTGGCAAATTGAATAAATATTTAGCAAATGACATTTAATTATAATACATACAAGGTAATGTAGCTGGGTTATCAAGGTCAAGACTTAATCACAGGTTTAATATAGATGAAAAGAACCTGCTTAATAGTGTGCTGAAGAAAATTACTTGGCACAGTGATGAATAAGTAATTCTATATATATATATACATATAAATTACCTGCAGTACTATGTACAATTTTGGTATCCTTTTCCAAGAAAGGATAGACTTACTGGAAAGGCTTCAGAGGATGTGTACTAAGATGACTCTGTGGATTGAAGGGTTATCTTATAGAGATAGGTTAAGTTCTTTTTAATTATTTTATCTTGTGAAATGGGTAAGGTGATCTTACTGACGTTTACAACACTATCCTTAAAGTTGATAGAATAAAAGTCCGTGATTCTTTTGTGCTGTATTCTGAAGAGAATAAAAGACAAAATTTTCAGATTTGAATAGCACAGGCTAGGATCCATTTAAAACAATTATATTATTCTAACAAGGTTATTAACTTATGGAGAGATTTGTTATCAACAGCAGTGAGTGTCAGCAGTTTAAAGGAATTTAAAAGGGAATTCAATGAGTTCCTCAAAAATAAAAAAGGAATTTTTTACTTTACTCAAGGTTGGGTGTGCAAGGACAGCCTTGGAGGATCAAATAATTTTTTCTTGTCTGTATGATTTTTTATATCAGCATTTAAATAATTGTTACGTATCTGCTCTTTTGTGAATTTACGGTATAAATTCTTTCCGAGGAACTTCAGCAATACAAGTCCTTTCTT